CAGACCATTGACACCCTTAGGTGTTCCCCCTTTGAGGTTTGCTACTATTGTTGGGGGGATAGCAGATTGTTGTTACAGAAGAACCCTCTCATGGCAGTACATACTTTGGCCAGACTGGCAGTGAATTCCTGGTGGGAGGATGACACCTCTGATGTCTTCTTGTTGAATAATATCTCGGATGAGAGGAGATGTGATGAGTGGAACTCTGATCGATGAACAAGCCTGAGGGCTAATGTCACTTTAGACTACTATTTTCTTTGATACCTGGATTCCTGCAATACATTGGATATTTCCATTTCCAGTGTAAATTTTGCGTATGGTTATATCTGGGTGATGTTCTTTTTCTTCTTCTTGGTTCAATCATTTTATTAACTCTTTGAACAAAGTATAATGTGGCCTTTGCAAGCATCGAAGCAATGTAGCCAACAGTTTGGTTTTCTCCACTGGCCACTGGCCACTGGTATAATGTGCTCTATAGTAAACACTAGGCAAGGATTCTTGTATCCCAGCCCAAATAGTTGGGATTGAGGTTGGGTTGAAGTCATATCTGGGTCTAAATTTTATAAGAGACACTCTCTTGTATTGGTCTTGATCTATGAAGTCCACACCCACCACGTATTGCATTTCCCTTTGTTGAATAATGATGGGACTTATTTTTCTGAGCTTTAAAATAAACAACTGTTATGGAACTTGGTTCAAAACACACCGATAGAATAACATATTCAGGATACCTGCCTGAATTTGAATGGAATCCGACTGATAGGACTCTGATCATATTCAGATATTGTAAATTCCCGATTAAATCAACTAAAATGACATTACAGAAACTTGAGCCTATAAAATTTTGTTTAAAAATATAAAATCTAAAGCAACTTTATTAGTAAAATACACAGACACATGGATCTTAGTTAGATTGTATTAGCATGATCAGACAAGTTTATAGGTTGGTCAAAGTTCTTCCAGTATCATACCTTTTTGGCATCATAGATTTACCCCCATTAATATCTGCTCATATATAGCACTTAAACTACCTTCTTGGTACGTATATCTATTTTGAAAGTGGTCAGCTAATATAGATATGATTTTTTAACGAGTCCAAATGACGCAGGAATCTTTCTCGTGGCCAACTAGTTTGGAGCCATAAAATCACTCCCCATCTCTCCTACTTTCTATTCATCATCATCCATCTATCAACCAACCAAGGGCTGGCTCGGTGGTGTGTTAGCTGGTTTGTTCCACTTTCTATTGTTGCATGGAAAAACTTAAGATTTAGAAGGGCTTTGGAGGATTGAACACAGTTAATCCAGGGCATCCCTGTCTGTAGATGGTATGGACTGGCCCCACCATCAATGTGGCCGAAATTGGGACCACTGCTTGGTGCAATGGTAAAATTTCAGGCCTAACAATCATGAGAATGCAAGAATGCTGGTTTGAGACTGAGAGTACCCCAGTTTGTGCAAGAAAATGTTAAAATGTTTTGGTCCCTTATCCAGTCCATCCATCCACCCAAGACCCCAGACAGCATATACCAACATTGAGTAATGGCCTTTGAAATGATGGTCTGATTAAGAAACCTTTTAATTTTTTCCTTTTATGTTATTTTCATTCTTATTTTATTGACTACTTTTCCCTATGAACTTAAAGATTTCGTCAGAATTTTAGGCTGAAACCTGATATGATTTCCACCATCTCCTAAAAGGAAATTGGAATTTCATAAAACTTTTCTAAAGGACACTACAAATCATACAAGGCAAGTGATTGACTGGTTGTTCGCTCGTACGTCGAGAAAATGGCTCAGCTCTCATAGGGCCTTTACTTGATTTTGCCCTCCCATTAATCAACCAAGAACCAACCCAGATCAAACAGCAAAGGACCATGTCCCACAACTTGACAGAAAGAACAAGAATGATAATGGAACTCCATGTGTCACTCAGAAAACCAACAACCTGTCAAGACTGTTGTTGATGGTCCAGCGGCCCACTTGTCTTCCCATTGTTAAATGGGTCAACCAGGTATGAAGTAGTCGACAAAACTGTTATTGCTTAGGTCTGGCACCTACATTACCTCCAAGGCAGGAGAGGAAGATGGTACATGTGACGGAGGAAAAGGGGCATACTAGGGCCAATACTCAGTAGGCTGAGTGGAGAGGTTTGCTTGATCAATAAACTTAACTAACTGACAAAATAGTAGGGGCACTTATTTAATATATAAGTTCCTACTTTTTCGTCCCTTCTCCCATTTTTATTGAAGAAAATGTTCCCAGCAGAGTCGATTAATTGGAGTTTAGCTTAGCATTCCTCATCAGAGGATAATGTTCTTTTCGTTGTACAAAAGTCTTGATTCTTCTACCTATCAAAAAGAAAAGAAATCTTGATTCTTCAGCACCATAGCAAAAGAAGATGGTCACAGGGACCAAATTAGTCGATCTATCTCAAACCCACCTACAAGGAGATTCCATTTTCCTATGGTAGGCTTTGTTTGTTACTTTTACTTTATTCATGTCTCAAAACATTCCAATGCTTCCACAAAGCCTAATCTATTGAAGCTTTTTAGAAGCCATCATGGCACACACTGTAACTCTACATCATTGTTGAGACTTGAGAACCATAGGTGTAAATTAACAGGTTTGTTTGAGTATATTTGGACTAAGCCACACACACAGATATCACTTATCAGTGTCTGTTGATACCAAATTCCTCTCTGGATACATGATTGTCCATTTGTTCCCAGGAAATTGTCATGAATTTGTAACCTTCAAATGTTTGTGAAGCTTGCCAGCACCTTCCAATATTGGATTGTAGTGAAGGCTTGAAATGAGAAGTGATGGGATCAGGTTGGATCCAAAGTTGGTCAAGCAAACTAGCAGTTTATGCTCCGTCATAGGATCGATCCAGAAGCATTAAGTTGAAGATCAAGAAATTAAATAGATTTCCTGTATTCTAATTAGGGGGAGAAATTGGGGGTTCTACTTTTACAACTACAAGCAATGCAAAAACTAGCAGGGCTAACTTTCATTAGGGTCATGAGAGGAGAAAGCTAGGGTCGTAATAGCAGTTGAGAATGTAGTGGCTTGGTTAGGGTTCAACCCTAACCACCTAAATTTTGTCTTTCTGTCTGCTATGTTTTGCTTTTCTGGTTTTATCTAGTTTTGGTTCAACAGTTGTTACAGTAGACTTGACCTAAAATTAAATGTGACATGATGGCATGTGACCCAAGGCCTAGCCATTGCTTCACTCTAGCATATAAAAAGATTGCCAATGACACTAGAGACCCACAAGACATGCTGAGAATTAATTAAGTTGAGAGATATCATCTCACATTTTTAACCTATAAATAAACAATAGAAGCGAGACAAAAACTTCATTGTCATTCTGTCTGGGTTCATACCCTTACCATGTGCTTCCTCACTAAAGAAACAAAAGCTTTTCTTCCCACTTCTCCAACTAAATAAACTAACCAAAGATCCTATTTGACATTTCCACGTCTTCTTGCAATTTTAATGGCTAGAAATTACATATAAAAAAGAAAAGAAAAGAAAAGCTGTTCTAGAGTTTCTGCACAGACAAAGAGAAGATTTGGAGATCAAAATTCAAAAGTCACAAGCTGAAATGTAAAATAACAAATTAAGAGACTATGAAACACATGTAGTTTCAATTGTTATACAGTAAAATAATTACATTCAGAAGTTCCAGATTCCGTTCAGTATACTACGAAATCTGTTTGTGGACAACTTTCTAATAATTCTCTTGGCATCCGGCATTTCATCTTCTGCAAGCTTTTCTAAATTTTTCAGGTAACCAGAATTCTGAATCTTCCTTCTTCCAATGTTGCTACTGGTTAATGACAATAAAGCAGAGAACAAGAACTTCTTGTTACCTGATTTCACCTCCTCTGGGTCAAGCAATTGAAGAATCCGGGCTATGTCACTATCTCCTTGGATGAACCTCCTTCGATTCCTCGAGACTAAAACCAGGGTAGATAGTGCTTCGGCTGCCATTTCTCGAATTTCAAAAGATTTCGCGTCGAGTAGTCTCACCAGCTCTGGCATAAAACCGGCATCACCCATTGCCTTCTTAGTTGCTTCTGATGTCCCAGAGAGACGAAATGCCAACTTCACTACCAATTCCTGAGTTGAGACCTCACCGTTGCGAAGAAAGTAAAGGAGACGATCAAGAAACCCATATGCAATCAGGAGGTTCAGAGAACTTGTAGACGAGAAACAGAGGCTCTCAATTGCTTTAAGTGCAGTCTCTCGGGCCTTGGAGGAAGAGGAAGATCTAGAATCCAAATTACTGACAAGCAAGTGGATACCTCCATCTCTAATGATCATTTGCCGAATGGGTTCATCTTCAGAAGCCATAGTCTGGAGGAACTCGATTGCATTTATCTGCGAGGCTTCGTCTTTCGATCTTATAAGCTTGATGAATGCCGTCACTGCACCTTCTTCAACCATGAACCTTTTGATCTCTTCCACTCCGGCCAGGTTCCTTAGAACCCCACAGGCCGGAACAAAAGACCCACCTCCTCTGCCATCACCAGTAGTGCAGAACTTTAACAGAACTGTTACTCCACCGTGAGCAGAAACCGACCAGGCATTGTCTGAATTCTCTGTCAGTTTCTGCAGAGCCCTGGCTGCTCTTTCTTTCGCCAAATCTTTTCCACTTTCCAAAACCCGAACCAAAGGTGCAATGACTCCGGCGCCAACAAGAACACCCTTGTACGAGTCAAACCCTGAGATCACCGAGATAGCCATGGTTGATTCTTCCTGAATCTCCATCTCTGAAGACTCAAGAAAATGCACCAAGAGACTTATTATTTCACCTGTCTCAACAAAAATCCTCACATATTTTTCGTCCTCCTGGACAACCTCATTCAAAGCCATCAAGGCCTGGCGTTTCATCTCCGAATCCCCGATCTTCAGCCTCGTCAACAAATCCCTGACATAGAATTTCATGTCATCGCGACTAGCTCCAACACCCGGCTTAGACACAACAATTGCATAACCATGAAGAATCCCAGCTGTGTAGATTGCTGTAAGATTCTTGATATGAAGTTCAAATTTTGCATACAATACATCGAGGTCGCTCTGCATTAGCAGCTTCCCACTGTAGGACAGGTTGACACACCGACGAGCAATATCATGACAGTCGTTAACAGTTGACTCAATAGCTGGAATCAAGTCCAAGATAGATGAATTTTCACCCAAGTTGCAATTCTCTGCAGCGGTTAGACCAGAATTCAGCTCCTCCATCTTGTTGCGGATAGTTTGCCATTTAACAGCAAACACTTTGATGGAAAGAGTGAAAGATATCAATGATGATATTAGCTGTATCGTCCGCCGGAGAGAGGATGATTCTCCAGCGTCCACTTCCAACAAGTTTGGGTTGTCTGCTTCTTTATCTCCCTTCTCTTCCCCCATATCTTTGCTCATTGGTTTGGAGGCAAGCGCATCTTTTTCTGGTCAGTTGGGTCAGTTAACTCCGGCCAACAAGTCCAAATAACAACTCCGGCAAGTGGTCAGAACTGTGAAAGAGGAGAGGAATGGAAAACTTATAATATGAGATAGCTAGGGAAGTCTCTTCTATATCTGAGAGAGCTTTGGCTCTATATCTCTTCTTCTTCTTCTTCTTATCTTGTGAATGAACATGAAACTGAATTGGAATTTACTGGGTATTTACTACATTGACCTCTTTTGGGGACTGGGTAACGGTTGATGGTCAATGGACGGGAATTGGGGGCATTTTGGGAATAGAGAGAATATGAAGAGCAGAATTGTTCCGTTATAGAGTAAGAGATTTTTCATTTATATGGATGTGTCATAGCCTCATGGGATGGGTGGGTGAGAAGGAGTTTTATCGCTTCTGATTATTATATATTAATTAATAATAATTAATTGACCCTTTAATTTGGCTTAGTTATGAAATAAATTATTAATATTAATTTAGATAAATCATTTTAAGAAGTATAAATTAATCAACAGAGTGTCCTTTTCGTAAATACAATGTTACATGTTACCTAGCTGGGTGATCACTTGTTAAGCAACAGCTAAGGCACTGTTTGTGTTTATGGCATGAAATAAGCTAAATTAAGTCCAAAATTTTGTTAATGTTTTCTAATAAAATTAAGGGATTATTTGGTTCGTAGTCAGAATCGGAATCAAAATCCTCTGGAATCGAAATCAGAATGGTCCATTCCCAGTCTGTTTGGTTTAGACAGAAATGGATATGAGAATTAAAATCAGCAGAAATGAGATTTCATTTCCAAGGGATGAACAGGAAATGGCCATTCTCTCAAATGGGGGAATGGATTTCGATTCTACCCAACCAAACAGTTGGAATTAGAATAGCCCATTCCAATTCCAATTTCAGACCCCTATTCCTGCAAACCAAACGGGGCCTAAATCTTTACTAAATTAGGCTTTTGGAGTAATAAATTACAAAGTTTGATTCTGTTTTGTGCATCAGCATTGATTTGAAACAGCCTCGTTTTCATTACCAGCATCGTAATTACTATATCATTTCTTCAATAATAAAATGATGGTAGCTGCTTAGATGCAACCAAACAAGGGAAGAGATGTGCTGCAAGTGGAAATAAAGAGTTTATTGTAGAATCACCACTTTTGGAAAAACGCATTGGGTTTCTTTATGTGAAACTTTGTAAGAGACCCTTTGTGATTTCTGGAACCTTTTCCTTTACCGTTTTCTTTTTCTTTTTCTCCACTTTCACTAGGTTTCTTAATTGTGTTTTTCTACGGCAACTGAGCAACTTTGGTAGACCCACTTGATAGGTGTCGATTACAAGTTTAGAGAAGCCATTTGGGCCATTTGGGTTGCTAATTACCCGAAGAGGGAACCAGGAAAAGAAAGTAGCCCATAACCATTGCCATCATGGACCACGTTTAATTTTTCTAGGGTTGGACCACATTTGATTGTGGACAATCTTTGATTAAGAAAAGGGGTTCTTTTCAAGTCTCTTATCTTGAAGATGAAACAGTCCACCCCACCATGTGAACCACATCTTCTAGGTTTCTTGAGCTTGGGGACACCTTTTGTAGAAGTAAGAGTGAATAGTGACAAACAAGACAAAAGAAGGGAAAAACAAAAGGAAAAAGAAAAAAGTAAAATGAGAAGCAATTCTCTTTCCTGATAAAACCCCTTTCTCCCTTTCCAAGCTAAGCTCAGCGAGTCAGCTACACACACACAAATGATAAGTTTAAAAAGGAACAAAGAGTTAGCCTTTTCAGAGGAATAAAATTTCAGAAGAATTGTATTGAGAGATGAACAGCAACGTAGCATAGAAATACAACCCCACAAGGGAGCAAATAACCCATGGTATGATTGGGCAGGAAATTCCTGAAAATGGAGAACATATATATATATATATACGTTAGGCAGAAATGAAGGGTTCATTTTGCTCAATGTTTCTTAAGTGGGGATGACTGCATTCCTTCTCTTGTCTATTTAAATCCCTAATGACAAGCACTTTTGTCTAGAGACACAATTAGAAAATGTTCTTTTGCATCCATCAAATTCAAAGATGTTATCTCTTCTGGTATTACTGGATTGGCACATGGCCATATCCTCTTAAAACTGCAACTAATACTAATCTTAGCCTCTTAGGTATAGTGGATTCATTAATAGCAATCCGTGAGAAGTGATGAGAACCCTAAAATGTTCTTCATTAGTGAACTGCCTGCAGCAATTTGGTTTGTCTTTGCTTAGAAATGGGCCTCATCTTTATTCCACAGAGTTGCTCAATAATTGATGCATGCCTACTGGATATGGGTCCATGGGATCTCAGATCTTTGTGGTGTTAGCATCTTGTCTTTTCGATAATAACACTATTTATACAATCGTGATCATTGATCTTGTCTAGTAAGTTGCAAATTGATTTCATTTATTTCCATTTAAAAATATGATTTAAAAAAAGTTAAATATTTTGGCTTGGTAGATTATGAATTTTTGAGGGAAAAATAGTTGTTAGGTGGAAAAGTTAATGTACGATGAAGGGAGTGACTGTTGAAGAAACATTCAGGAGGGAAGAATGGAATTCTAATTCCGAGGTAGAAGAGCAGATACAGAATTCCTTACCTTTGAAGAGAACAGGTTAAATAATAATATCTCATGTTCATGAGTTCATCAACTGAAATGAAGAAATAAGACAACTCAATGGCGTACTTGAAGCCAAGGAAGGACATGTCTTAATTTCTTGAAGGTGGGGATATGGGATTGTTGATTATTAATAGACAAACTAAGAAGGGAACTCTGTCAAGGGCCACTAGTGTCCAATTTATCCAATTTTTCACATATCATGGTGTAATACAGAATACCCATTAAAATAATCAAGCAATCAAGTTTATAACTAATTCAATATTTAATTTATTGGGTATTTTCCATTGGAGGTCCCTCCAAGCTTATTACTCTAAGCCCAAAATCTTTCAATGTATGTGAACTAACAGCATCTGATAATTGATGTAATCTTAAATCTTATATGAAGGTTAACTAAAAGCTAAACTCCTTAGCTGTTGAATCGAATTTGTTTTTCATTCATGAATATAATGCAATGTCAAATCAGAGGCAACCAGGCAAGGCCCCCCCCCCCCCAAGAGATTCTAATGCTTATAATTAATATCCCAAGCTGATGGGATTTAATTCCATTGACGAAGAATTCATCATGCTTTGTGTTAATTTAGACTTTATTTTTATGTGATCTAAGGGTGTTGGTATTGACTACCCCAAAAACAATAAAGACTTCATATGTAAGACTAAGACTAAGTCCTTCTAATTAATCCAGCTTCAACTGTCAAACCATTAATTCATTTCTGGGTTGAATTGGATGAGACCGTGGTTCCAACCGGATTAGATCACCCACAGCGTTGTGGACAAAACCATCACAATAACCCAATGACCTCTAACACATGAAGCTGACATATCATATTGCTTTCCACCATAAATAAAGGAAAGGACCTGTATGGAGTATGGTGGGGCCTGCCCAGGTGTAAGAAAACAGAGAGGAATGCAACAGGTTATTAATCAAACAGAAGTTAATTAGCTTGTTTTCCTCTCCCTTGAGACAAAGACACATTGGAATAAGCCTTGAGATCTCAAGGAGGTAAGCTCAAAAGACGTCTCAACAAAGGAAAACAACAAATATTTGTTTGTTTGTTTGTTTTTGTGTGTGTATTCCTCTGACTTGGCAAAATTAAAGCTGCGGGGTCAATTGGAGTTTTGGGTTGTCAAAGGAAGTAGCAGCTACAAGTGGCCAAATTGAAGAATGCCCGAAGCTGGTGGTCGATTGCATGTCTACACGGAAAAGAGGAGGTACCATGCCCATGCCCATGCCCAATTGCCCATGCCCATGTGAAGCTAAAGATTGCAAGCATAATTTGGAAGTCGTTCCAGCATTCAATCAATCGTGTTAAATACTTCACGTAATTTATTTATTTTTTTTATTGATTCATATTTTATTTTACAAAGTAGTTAAAGTGTCATTTAATCATTGATTCACATTCAATTTATTTTGTGGGATAGACAAACGGAATTTCTTACTCACCCTCTACCGCCGTGAATTGCAGGAAAAGTGAATAGAAAATTTGGGTTCAGAAAGGGCCTCTTTGCATCCTGCCTAATTCCTTCCCAGATATATAGGAATGAAGTTAGTTTCGTTTGATTGCTTGGTCCATCGATTAAAGGGCATGGAACAATGAGCTTGTCTATGATTTGAGAGGTCCAAGAGATAAATGTCTCTATAATTTCAAAGATTATAAGAAAGAGGGGATAAAGTTCCATTACAAATTCAATATGTATGGCATGGTTTTGTTTAATTAGATTGTGATATGAGATAAACTTGATTAGTATGCACTCCCCAATTTATATATCTAATATAAATATATTTATATATTAAAAAAAGGCTTTCAGGCTATAGTCCCTACCATTCAATCACATGGTTTTTTTAAATTTAGACACATAGCATTTTTTGAGAATTTGTTGTTAACGCTTACAACCCACTACCACCATTAAAAGAAGTGGCCTTCTACTAAAACCCACAACCCACTACCAGGCTATCCCCACCATTCAGACACATGGCCTTCTTATTATTTTTAGAAAACTAGACACGTGGCATTTTTTTGAGAAGTTGCTAAAGCCCACAACCCACTACCACCCTTTTCAATTCCTTCCTAAAAAAATGCAGAAAATGCAAAAGTGATTATCCACAACCACTTTTGCCTACACTCTATCAATCTCACTTAATCATTAACCCTCTAAGTATCATAACAAAAGAAAATTATCCATATTAAAATGATGTGTAAGTAAATCAAACCGCTCCTCTAAAATCGCTCCGTCTCTAAAACCACTCCTTCTGAAACTGCTCCTTCTCTGAAATCGCTCTGTCTCTGAAACTACTCCTGAAATTGCTCCATCTCTGAAACTGCTCCTTCTCTGAAATCGCTCCGTCTCTAAAACCACTCTTTCTGAAACTGCTCCATCTCTGAAATCACTCAAACCACTCCTTCTTCTAAAACTGCTCCATCTCTGAAACCGCTCCCTCTCTGCAAGCCGTACAACCACTCCTTTCTCTATTTAGAGAGAGTTTCTCTCTTGCATTGCTCGAGGTTCTATCAATCTCTCTATTGGGGTGACTCCCTTTGGGGAGTCCCCCCTTTTCCTTTATCATTTCTTTTCTTTCTTGTTTGTTTTTTCTTCTTTTTGTAGGCATTTTGACAAGGGGGTCACTTG